AACAGGAGAAGAAGAAAAGAAAAAGAGTCTTAATAGACTTTCCACTCATTTCCTCCATGTCTGCAGTTATCTTTCACTATTTGCATTCACTCGTTTCCCAAAGTCATCTTGAATGTTGAATTCTCAATACAACTGAAATATTTGTGAGAACATCAAATAAGCTAACTTCATAAATTGATGTTGATTTTCCTACAATGTGTGGGTTTTTTTTTTAAACACCATTATAGTGTTTAGCGTTCCCTTTGGTTGGGCACTTGGAACTTCGTTTATGTTAATATAATTTTTTTCCTCTTAATGCAGCAATGCATCATGAAGTCAGAGTTATTTGATTTCAAGGGAAGAAAAGTAATAAATAGGTTGTTTTAAAAAAGTGATCTATCTTCTAATTAAATAGTTAGTGCATTTATTGTGTGTGCTTATTAATGAACTTTATCAATTTTCTTTTTTCATAAATACAATGAGATGCTTTTTCCTAAAATGTGTTTTTTTTTTTAACTCACCATTATAGTGATTAGCATTCCCTTTGGTTGTGCACTTTGAACTTGGTTTATGTTACTATACTTATTTCCTGTTAATACAGTAATGCATTATGAAGTCAGAGTTATTTGATTTCAAAGAAAGGAAAATAATAAATAGGTTGCTTTTAGAAGGTGACCTATCTTCTAATTAAAGCATTGGTGCATTTATTGTGTGTGTTTATTAATGAACTTTATCAAATTTATTTTTTCATAAATACCCTGAGATGCTTTTATTTGGGTTTATATAATCCTTAAATAGTGTGTGGTAATATGCTGAAGTCACACACAAACTTAAATATTCAGCACGTGAATCACAGCAATGGTAACAATTCAACTGCATTTATTTTCATTACTTGTAACAATAACCATTTTATTTGCTCTTTTTGTTGTGCTACTACTGACACAAGACAGCAAATAAAATTGGCAAATAAAATCAACAACTGTAAAACAAAGCAACTGCATAATTTATTCATGCCACAATGCACTCTGGGAGTCAGTGAGTAGCTATATTAAGTCATGAGTAAACCTAAATGAAAGGATCAAGTACCCCCTACAGTTCTTTTTAGTTACTAGAACTCTCGTGTAAGTAAACTATACTAACTAAGCATTTGTCAGTACAACATACTATTCCTATTTCACTTTACTTCGTTTTTTCAAGGCAATCGGTTTGCATGCTTTTTTTAAGTAAGCCCAGCTAATTAGATTTTACAGTGAGTCTTTAATTGATTTTTCCGTCACCACTGATAAGCTACTACAAAATATTGTAGAAACTTAATTTTCTGTAAAGTTGCTTTGCAACAATTTGTATCGTGAAAAGCGCTATACAAATAAACTTGAATTGAATTGAAAAGTATTTTGACCAATAGCATGCAGGTATTGTACATAATCGAAAAAGAGGATGCATGGTCACCATATATAACCTTTATCTCCATACCAAAATTTTAGATGGCCAGACAGTGCTCCATCTTTTCTAAATTGTTAAAATATTGGTGAGCTGTCTCCCTAAAGACTGTAGTGCACACCAAAGCTTAGCTTAAAGGTGTGCTATAACTGAATATTGCTCAATAATGGCTGTTGAGTTAGCATTTTCACTTGAAATGGAGTAAAGGTTTGGACTTGAAACAGTATTCGATACAACATGATATAACAAACACAAGGCACTGACACGGAATATAACATATTGTTTTGAATTGCGCATTATGGATTACATTACATCTAATAACTGTAAAAAAATTGGCTTTTCAAATAGGTCTTGCTCTCCATTCATCTCAGCACAATATAATGATCTGCTCCGATGCATCCACAAGGACATCTGAGGTTGCACTCTGATAAAAGCGTTTTGCAAGGTTCAACTTGTAGCATGTGAAGAGCATGCAGGAAATCTCTCTAACAAACTTGTTCATTACTTATGGCACTTCTAGAGTTTCCTTTGTGCATCAGAAGTAATCCCCATTGATTCTGTTGCAAATAAGGGCAGTAAACATCCTATTGATCATTAATCAGATCTAAACAGCAGTGCCTCTGCTAAAGCCGTGCATGGGCTCTCGGAGCTTAGCTCAGACACACATAATTAAATGAGTACCATGCATTGATTTTCAGCCCCTGCTTAATATAGAATTAAACTCTACTTCTTCTGGTGACACTGATATAAATTCATTATTCGCAATTACCATCACAGCACCCTGGCAATTAATTGAATACATTAATTCTGCTTCACTGCAAACATTCATTTAGAAGCCTTTCGTGGGCATATATTTTAGGGGATGGCATTAAACCGAACAGCAAGTAAAAGGTCCTGCAGCAATATTAGTGTGAGATGCACATGGCTTCGTAAAATCTAAATGGATTAGATTGTAAGGGAGGATGTTAGAATTGAATGGGTTGTGCCAAATCTAATGTATTCATGAGGGAAAATATGACCTAGAGCAGTGTTTGTGTTGTCAGTCATTTATCTATGCATTGCCTCATCTGACTTTTAATTTCAAAAGAAAATACCTAGACTTCTAGCACGCTACAGGCCATAGATGTCTTGAACTAAGACATGAACCCATGCAAGTCTGCAGCTTCTCACGAAAGAAGAAAAACTAACGTCAGGATGAGACAGAAAGGAGGAAAAGCAAGCTTATCAAAATAAGTTTTTAATCGGAACACCACGGCGAGCGACCCAGGAAGCTCTGTTAACGCTGTGTTCATTACCGAAGTGACCAAACAGGAAATTTTCCTGCCTGTGTCCTCTGATTAGATTAACCTCTCTGCTCTGGAAAGCCCTTTGTAAACAGCCTGTGCAGATGTCCTTCAGGAGATAACGGCTATCTTCCTAAGTTGTTTCCGCACTTGGGCAGAGAAATGTCCATCAAGCAAATGTGTTCTGTGGATCCTTGGGCTCCTGAGAATACTTGATGTATTGCCATCATTTAACCAATGCTACATTTGCTATATTTCTCACTCACTGGGCTTTAAAACTTGTGGTATCTCCTGATTTCTTATATCCGGGGGGGGTGGGGGGGTATTAGTTTTAATGATAGTACACTACAAAATGAAAGTTCTGTCATGTTTTACTAGTCTAATATTGCTTAAAACCCTTATGAATTTAGTATAGTTGATAGAACACAAAAGGAGATGTTATGAAGAATGTTCACGCTGATATCTATCTAGCACTCAAAAAGGTTTCTAAAAGCAGTCCATGTCTCATGCACTACATTCTAAGTACTCTGAAGTCATAAATATTTCAGTCTGTAATTTACTCAATCTTGCATTGAAAATCTTGCTTGACAGTTCTGATCACCATTTACGTCCTTTGTATGGAAAAAAGCAGCTTGGGTGTTCTGCTATAAATTTCTCCTTTTGTCAGAAGAAAGTAAGTCATATGTGCTTTGAAAGACATCACAGTGAGTAAACTATTACTTTAACAGTAGTTTTTGACATTCCATTTATGATATTACTATGAAATCAGTGCAGGCTCTGACATTTTCTACTTTAACAGAAAAATTAGATAAAGATAAACAAATAAATAAATATTTCAATATATTTTAAGATGATATATAATAATATAATAATAATATATATTATATGATATATATTTTATATATATATATATATATA